CAGCTACTTCCGTCCAACATGTCGCTCCGCAGTTCATCGATGAGCTCCGCTGGAAACAAGCAGCTGCTCGCCTTACATCATCGTCAAGGGCTCGTCCGCTATCGAGATCCAGTGAGTTGGATGGTGATTCCTAGCCGCGGACTAAATTAACTCTTTGCGGAAGGCGGAAAGAATGAGACAACGTCGTCGTCGGAGAAGGATGAGCGTGGGGCGAGAGACGGGGAAAATTAAGAGCTGATTGTCGACCGGAGAAGCAGGCGAACGGAGCGGTTGAGTGCGTGGGCGGTCGGGTAAACGGACAAACAGACCGGTTGTCGGTTGAGAGAACGCTCGGTTGGCTCCGTTCTCCCTTCTGTCGCTTCCCGGGACAAGAAACCGGGGAAGATTCCCGATTTTTCCCTCGACTGATCGCTCGGGCTTCCCGTTGCTACGTGAATCAGGCGTGATTTATCGACGCGAATCAGAATACTCGTCCCCTAATCCCACGAATCGCGCTTCCGTAAACCACAACGACCGCCCACACTGCAATACGGCACCGCTAAGTCTCAGATTAGGGAATGGAACGACTCCTCCGGCGCATACGAGCTACCCACCTATTTTAAGGCGACGAAATCCTCAAGTAGCAGGATGCTCGCATCTCCGACCGAGGGCCGAATGAGGCGCGGATTTACTGAATGTCTCGCGGTCATCGGCACCGAACGCCAACGAGACAACGCAGAGTCGACTTTGTACTCCATGGGTTCAAACAATGGGTTACGATCGGGGGCATTTAGCCAAGAACAGTCTCGCTTCACTCGCTGTCTTCCTCAAAGGACCATCCCCAGCGGGAAGCAAGCTTGCTCGCTAGCGGAGGGTTAGGTGGTACGGACGGGACGTCAGCCATGGCACATAGCTGCGGGTAGGCTCGGGGTCAGAAGCTCAGCAGACCCTCATCCGAAAAGTCTTTAGCTCCGGCCCGTGAAAGGCTGAGGGAGGAGGGATCGCTGCATTCACCGAACTGGCTGACGAAGAGACTCGTTTCAGGAGCAGCTCCCAGCTCAGGATGGAGGGACTGTATCGCTCTGGACTCCTCTCGTCTGCGGGGTTGAGGCTCCGTCGAAATCCGTAATCCGTATGGGGGATTGAGCGCGGATGATGATGACTCGGTAATGAAAGATCCAGTCTGTCGATGAAGCATTCCCCGCTCGTGGATGTAGACTCAGGGTTTCCGCTCTACGATTGAACATTGCAATCGAATAAGAGAAAGGGAACGAAATCCGCTGCTGCCGTCCCACCACCGCGCACAATCTACAAGTGAGGGTGGAATGTGAGCTGAGGTGACATTCCAGACGGTCGGCGGGCGCTCGAATGAATGGCTTGACGGCGGTGGCGGCGTCGGCGCGATTCCTCTGAGGTCAGGGAATCCGGATTCGTTTTTAAGTCTGGAACAGTCTCCGACCGCGTCCCCAGCAGCGCGACCACATTCGATGGGAGCGACGAGCGCAACAGCAGAAGCCACAGAAGCTCTTCTCTTTTGTTCTGCGTTCCTGCATCGTGAAATAAATTTCGAATCGAGCTCGCTTCTGCTCGGTCGATCGCCGGACTGACTGCTCAGTGGTAGGCGACGGAAGGACAGAGAGAAGCAGACGAACGGAAAATGAAAAGAAGGAAGGGCAGCCGGAGGAAAAAAGGAAGGGTCGACAGTAGCGGCGGAAGGCGGAAAGGGGTAAGGGGGTTGGCAAGACGAAGAAACGTATTTATTGGAAGTGTCGTAGATCTGTGGAGGAAGCATTGATTCTCTATCGGCTCCCTTCACGAGACGCAAAGGAATATGTTCGACGTCCTCCCTGTTCGTTCTACGGACGTCTTTCTAGGAATTCGTTCATCCATCCATCCATTTATACAACGGCGACGGTGAAACAAAGCGACGCAGCGAGCTTATCCTCGCGGTAGGTTCCACGGTTTGAGGCTAGTTTGATGAAGATGGATGTATTTTTCCGTTGGATTGGAAGACGAATGAGCGAACAAACAAACGGGAAAAGAAAACGAAAAAAAACAATGATTGCCCGGCGCTCCTCTGCTGGGAGTTTTCTATGCCATGAGCCATCAGATAAGAAAACCCCGCTACAAAACTCGTGTCGAGTTAGCCACGATTCACACCCAGCGCGGGAATTCCATCCGCATCGATTTCGGCAGTTTCCGATGCCTTCAGATATTCGGATCGGAACACGCAGAAGCGGACACAGAAAGCCAGGCGGGAAACACTTTTCCGAGCAGCGAAGTCGCTATCGCCCTGCAGAAGTCGATGTTCTTTGCTCCAATAGCGCCGACTGTATACAGGCGACCGCCGCGTGTCACAATTACTACAATAATAATACTTCTGCTGCCGCTTCTGCTACTTCTCCGACAACTGAAGAGCCGAGCACAGCAGAGAACAAACGCTAGGGTCTCCCTCTCTCTCACCGAGGACAAAGCGTACCCACGTTCCCGGTAGACCGTTCGGAAACAATGCCAGCTTCTATTCCTCTTTGTGCCTCACGTTTCCCCATCCTCTTGGAGCGGTGCTTCTCTCCTGACCTATTCCCCTACCAGGACACCGTCAACGGCAACAGCAGCGTCGTCAACGGGAAAAAACAACGAACGGGATACGGCTTGCTCGACCAAATGGAGTACGTACACCGAAAGGCTAGCAAGCGACGGTGAGCCGGAGTTACAGAGAGTTGTTGTAGTCCTTTTAGACTGAATGGACTAATAGAAATCGCGAGCCATTCCCCTTTGCTTTCTGTGTGCAGCCGAGAGAGTAGGCAAGCGAGCGAGCGTTCGGATCGGCACACAGACGGACGGACGCTCGAGCGAACGGTCGTACCGGCGGGCAGGCATAGAACGAAACGAGCACCACTCCAATTACCCAGCCGAGCGGAGAGGAGGAAAAAACAAAGAAAAAGCGACTTCTCCTGTATTAGGCTCGCTACCCATTGAAGTAGGCAGCTAACCACCCGTTCGGCCACTTTTCGTCCAGTCAGTCGTCGCTTGGCCCTCGATTCAAGCCTCTGCTCTCAAAGGTAGTACCCCCCCCTTCCTACACGGTTCCGTGTAAAGAGATACCGGAGCGTAAGGGTGGGAAGCGGAGGGAACGATACCGCGGTGGGAGTGAATGCCGAGCGTAGCACAAGGGTTACTCTGGGGGGGCTGTCGGGAAACCTTCCCCCACATCCGGTCTCGCGGATTTCGCCTTCCCGCCACATGTTCGCCGGGTTAGCGTCGGTGAACCGCGGGTCGGTGGCAACTCCGAGGAAGAACCCGAGTTCTTCCCTCGCACGTCCTCGCGTACCGCCGAAGTTCTGTACTTGTTTGCCTTGATACCCGTCATGGCTTTGGAGTCGTTCTCTGACGGCGGCTCGCAGAGGCTCAACATTCGCGCGAGGAGCTCAATGCGACCGAACGAGACCGTCCGGTCATCGTCGTCGTCGATTCTTCGGCGGGAAACGTAAACAGGTTCGTCTCAGGCTTGTTGGTTGGCAACGAACCGACCCATGGACCGCCGGCTCGACGACCGACTGAGTGCTAGACTGCGTGGTCGCCTCTTTGGTAAGGGGACCACGTAGGCCTAATGCTGTCCTAATTGGACCATGATGGCACATAGGTAGACGAGCCGACGACCGACCGACGGAGCGACCGAAGAAACGTACGAACAAACAGACGAGCCGACATCAAGTCGACGGAAAACTTCGCACACGGAAGAAACCGCTCGAGTTGCCAGGGCAAGCGACGAACTTGTCTTGCGCCATTGTCTCGTTTGCACCACCTCATTACATCTTGTTTGGAGTTTTATCTCCGACGGAAACGACGACGTCTCCGAAGTTGTCGCGCTCAGCCCGAGCTCGAACTGTGACGCTCCGACGGGTAATAGGGACCCGGGATCGGATGAACTCCGCTTGTGAGAAACACGTGGGCGGAACATTCCTCTTACCGGAGGATCGGTCTCTACCGTCACGACGAGCTGCGTCTCCCCTCGGTATGAGGTCTACGATTGAGTTTCCATGGCGTCCACTCTCCAACAGCTTAGCAACCTCAGAACACTCGGGAGTAAAACGATGGTAGAGCGACGACAACGACAGCGACGTCGATGACAACGATGCCAACAACGACAACAACACGGGGTGAACATAATCCGGGCGAAGCAATATCGCGCCTATAATGACTATCGAGTTTCAGATATCTGATGTAACTGGAGCTCTTCTCCGGCAGAGTGGCATGGCATATATTAATGCCGGAGCGGCCGATGTCGGTGGTGGCGGCGGCGGCGATGGTGGGAAGAACTGCCCCTCTCGCTTGTCTGCTTCTTCTGTTTCGACGGCAGCGGCTCCGAGAGCAGCAGCGACTCCCCCTTCCGACGAGTGCTCCTCGTCTGTCCGATATACTCCATCGTTCTTCGTCGTCATGCTAGCCAACCATCCGCAATCGTAGTCGTCCTCTTCAGTTTCTCCGCTTTTCCCTACCTTCAGTCGGTCGGTCGTTCTTTCGCTCACTCTATCACTCGCTTACCAACTCATTGAGCGACTCGGTCTCTCATACACACTTCTACTAGTTATACAGAAAGAAGCGAGGCACACACTTGGCACCAATGGAGCGACTTCCTATCGTCTCCCCGCTGCCTTCCTGCCTCTCTGCCGGCCATCTATCTTGCGACCCATTGATGAGAATAATCGATGGAACGAGGCAACGACTTTTGGGATTCATTTTTTCCAGCGGGAATATCCTTTTATCTGGCCGAGAACCCATCCGAGGAATATTCCTCTCTCGAAGATGCCTCCATATGTTCTTTTCATGAAATTCCCCGGGCAATTCTAGAAAGTCTGGGGAGTTCTGGGGAAGAATCTCTCATCCGACGGTCGAGTTTCAGTAACGACGGGTTATGGGGTCGCTGATCGCTTTCACCTCTTCCATTGATCTGGCGTCTAGAGATAGATGACGAGCGTGTCATCTACAGCGTCGGTCGGTTCCTTTTTTCCTCCACTCACCTGCAGTCACCCTGACGTATCTGCTGCTGATGCTTCCGTAGTCGCTACTTAATAGACAACGGAAGATTCCGCTATGAACTTCGGTTCGATACTGGTCGCCAGCGAAAGGCAGCAAAATCATCGATCCATCGCTACGGAATTGTCGTAGACCAGGTGTAGGCGACAAAGGGCTGCCGTCCGGCCGAGTCCACAACACTTTTGGCTTCGGTGTCCCACCTCCATCACAAGCAATAACAGCGCCTGTCGAATTTAGGAACACGACATTCGACGGCGGCTCCTCTCGGAAGTACACTGGTAACTGGAGAAGACGTCGATCTGGAAGGAGAAACCAAACACGGGTCAGTCGAGTAGCGGTTCGCTTTTGTCTGGATCGTGTCTCCTGCGGAAGCTGATGATCCACAGACTTCTGAAAGAAATCTACCGTCTTGAGGGACGAACGATCAGTATTGGCTCAATATTTTCCCTTCAACATTCCCCGTCCGCAGAGAATCGAATCATAGCGGCGTCGCTTGCTATCGAGTCCACTCCTCTCAGATAAAGAAGGCTCGTCCTGATTGTGGTGAGATTCGTCCGCCATCGTTCGACGCTGTATCGGTCCCGCAAGACTTCGGGGCGGGAAAGGGCAGGGGGAGGGAGCGGGATCCGCCCGAGAACGAGGAAGAGAGCAGCCCATCATTCTGTAGTCTTCCTGCCCTGTCGATAAGCGATGATTTGTGAAAGCGGATTGAGGGAAGCGAGACTCTCACTCAGACAGCATCCGCAGCTTTTCTCGTTCGGCTCCTAACTGAGAGTTCGATTGCTTTCCGCCAGCATCGATGGACGACGCTCTTATCGAGGCTATCGTCGAATCGTGGGCAGACGAGTCCGCCGTAGGAAGCCGCAGATAAGTTCGCACCAGGAAAGTCTGTCTGATGGATACAAGACACGAGACGTACCGGAGGCAGGTTCCCTGATGGAAGGAGTGATATACTCTCCTGGAATACAGCTAGAGCTCTGTGGCCGAAATTTCCAGAAGCCCTATCAGTTCCAACTTGTTCCGCGAGATTCGACGTTTCGGGATTGTGACCAGACTGGCCAAGGCTATCGAGCGGCTAGCGGGGGCTCGAATCTGCTTCGCAAGGCCCTACAGAAGGCGAACTGTTCCTTTCTGAGAAATGTCATGAGATACGTTCTCTTCGACAGAAACCGAAGCCTTCCTATCTCTTTGTCGGACTTCGGGCTCGTCTCCATCCAGTTTCCTCTCTTCCACCCGCACCAATTTCGCCGTAACTCATCCGATGTAAGTCGCCCGCTCGCTCGCCTTGCTGGCCAGCCATCCGTCCGTTCGACCGCTCGTCCGAACGCTGCTGCCGCTCCGGGACGGCAGCAGCCGCAGCAGTCGCAACTATTGCTGCTGCGGCATTCGTAAGACGACCAGACGACGCAGTGGGTCTCTCTGTATCTCGGCTTCCGCTCTGATTTCCGGTCAGTGCTGTCTGTAGGGGATAATTTAAAAAAGGATAGACAACTCTTTCAACGGTCCCACGCCGCTGCAACGATGGCCGAGTGTCCAACCACCAGCCAGTGGAGCAGTCACTCGGTCAGTTGGCCGGTCAGGCGGACACCGAGTCGGAGGGAAAAACTCGACGAGTGTCATTCTTCAAGCTGAGATTTTTGTTGCGTCCATAAAAAGATATTGCACAAGCGGCGGACGAATGGCGTTGCCAACGTCTCTCGCGTCGACTCAATTCGAAATTCCGTTTTGACAAGTACTCCTCGACGGGACGAAGTAAAGACTCCCCTCCGGACTTTAGTCGGGGCGCGCCGGATCTATTAATTCTCGCCAGTCCTAGACACCGGGATGACTATCGAGAATTCTCCATCGGTGCGCCTCTCAATTTCTCTTTTCCCCGCAATGACAGAGCTATCGCAGACCCGAGAGCGTCTGCTGTTTTTGATTTGCCCAATCAAGTATTGCGACAATCGCTATCACCGCGTTGGCGCTCTGTGCGTGGTCAGAGTGATGCCGGTTATTGCGGTAGCGCGACTGTCCGTGGTGTTGTAGAAACTTTATGGCCCGCCCAGAAGGGAAAAATGATAGCTACTTTTCACCGTCGTAGTCCCCCTTGCCAAAAAGCTTCGAGCGAGTTCTATTTAGACGTCGTCGGCTGCCGCGGCCGTCGACAAAGACAGTGAAGAGGATTTGAGAACAGTGGGGAATAACAGCGACGCGGGGAGAACGTCCACGGCGATGACACTATCCGCCGCCTGTTTCGTTAGCAACATTTTTATGCAGTCTCACAGCCTGGGCGCGCCCGTCCCTGTGTTCGTGCTGCCAATGAATTTAGTGGAAGCGTGTTCGCGTAATTCAAGACGGCACTCGCTCTAAGGCCCGGCGAGACAGCGTAGGAACTCTGGCTGACTGGTCCCCAACACATGATCTCGTCGTGTTCGTCGTTTGAGTGGTGTACATAGTGCGATCACTCGCGATGTCGAAGCTCATTACGGAGTTTAGATACAGCTCTGCCGACCCGATCGGCTGCGGACACGTCGTCACGTTGATTCTGGGAGCCGCGATTGAGCTTGCTAATTTTCATATGGTTTCAAGCAAGCCCCGTTGTGGAACCCGATGCGAGAGCGAGTCCCGGAACATCTGAGCTGCTCTCCATTTTTATCTCATGGCATTCCGGAGAATCGCGGCTGTTCCGATCATTTCATCATTCATGAATTGTTATCCGCGCGTCTGCAGCATCTGAACGCGGCAGTGATAGTGGCAGCAGCAGCAGCAGTGTTTGTCGGTTTCGCCAGAGCTCATTACGGAGCTCTCATTACAAAAAAGCTCTCAGCATTCAGCGTTAATTCTAATCGCTTGCGCACTCATTACAAGCAGACTTGTGTTGTCTGCTTCCCCACGCCTCCCTCGTACAGTCAAGCGACTTCTCAGCCGGTCGAGGACCAGCTGCAGCAGCAAGAGGAATAACGTCTCAACTTTCATTCATTATGGCGATCGCAGCCCTGATCTACAGCTTGAAGAAATATACGGAATGGCTAATGGTTGTTTCGTCTTCACCTAGATGAGCCGTGAGGCCGCCCATCTCTTAATCTATTTCTCCGAGCCCTGCGGAATTCCATGATTGCACAAGTCACATGTTTCCTAGCGAACTTGCGCTCTTCCCTTCCTCATAGACCTAGGTATTCCCTCGATCATCGCATTTCGAGCCTTCGCGCCTGTGGGAGAGGGCAGCCACCAGACGACTGGTAGATGCTTTGTGAGCAAATCGCTCGTGAAATCAAGAGGACAACCTTCGGAGCTCCGACACCGTTTTCCTTCCGAACACCTCTCGCTATAGAAAACTCGGAAGTAGAATAGAAATTGAGCAGACAGGACAGTCAACAAGCGCGGCCCGATCCGGAGGCTGAAGGGAATAACAGAAAGAAGCACTCTCCGATTGGGACAGCCATAAATTTCAATCCAGCTAAGGACGAGACCTAAGTAAGCGTTCAAGCGAACGACTCTCCTGTCGGCCAGTCGGCTGACCTGTCGACACGGTCGACACAGCGGTAGCCTTCGGCTCGTGTGCCGCTTGCCAAAGCGGTTGCTTGTTCCTTTCCTCTCCATTCTTCTTCCTTTTATATGGTCGAATGGCTAGCTAGTTGAATGAAACGCAACCGTCGGGAATTTTCGCCTGCAATCGGAAGCGAGCGTATTTCTCTTTTTCCACTTCTCTTCCACCCACTCAATTCTCCTCGTTGGAGCGTTCTCCGTACGTTCCTCTGACCGACCGTCTTGCGGGACGCCCTTCTCTTGATCTCCGGGTAGAAAACGGGAACACGTCATCTCACGTGACAGACGGCAAGCACGCTCAACTTTGGAGAAAGGATTAGTTCCAGAGAGATGAGAGCAGAGATGGAGGCCAGCGTCAAGTCTTCACTTCTTCCTCACCCCATCAGCCGGCTAAGATCCACGTCAAAGAGTTTGACGAGCGGACCAACCCTTTAAACATTGGAGCGATCTGACACCGCTGGGAGAACTATGCCGACGTCGAGTGAGCTCCCTTGCGTGGAGGCTGAAATTATTCTCCGAGAAATTCGAATCAACGGGAGTAAGAAGTTCAATTAGGGAATGAACTCGGCCAACTAAGAATGAGCACAGATGTTTTCTAGACCTGCCAAATTCGCCCGGGCGGCGTCTGGCCGATCGAGTTTGCGCAAGCAGCGGAGCCTTCTCGGAGTCGAAGGCAAATGAGTAGAACAAGCAAGAAGCGAGATCCGTCGAGGCAGTCAACTCTTTCTCCGTCGGCGCGCCCCGTCGACCTTCCCGTACGTTTTTTCCACCAACTCGCCGTACTGTCTGTCCGTCTGGCCGACTGAGTGACTGTCTACGAGTTGGTTCGAGGAGAGGCCGGCGAGCGATGGGCTCGATTGCTAACGATTGGCAAACAGAGCAAAGTAACGGAGGCTCACGCATTGAGCTACGGACAGACAAGCGACTAAGAGATAGCAGCCAACCTCGCATGTATAAGTACAGTCTGCGTTCTTTCCGGGTCTCTCGATTCGTTTTCCCGTTCCCCGCCGTTTGAACGGAAGACGGTAAGTCGCTCTACGATTTTCTCTCGGCTTCCCCGTCTCCCACTTCGCCTCGTTCGACTCCTTCATGCGGCCGGCCGGGCGCGGGGCGAACGGAGAGACCGGTGGGATAGGCGTACGGAAACCCAGGCGGCGGATTCGATTGAGAGAAGCGTTTAAGTCGCGTTGAGACGACTGACTTCTCCTGGGCCTTCGTTTGCGGCAGCAGCGTTCCTTCCCAGCCGACGAGTCACTCTGACTTCGGTGGAGGTGCTGCCGCTCGTTCCTCTTTCTCCGTTGTTCAATCGAGGCCGTACGATCTGCTTACGGAAGATTCATCGAAGTTCCTCTGCACGTTGGCGGCAGCCTCGATTGCCTCGGACGGGTCTTCCCATTATACTACCGGCAATCACACCCCTGGACAGGCACGCCGACTCCCGCGCGTAAACTCACATTCGCACTTGCAGTCCGCGGCCGGTGGCAACAACGGCGGCAGCTACCGAACGAGAGAGACTGTACGGGGCTGTATCCGGCAACACCAATAACAATACACACGGCTGCTTACGGAGGCTAATTATCATACAATTACAACCGATGCTCCCGTCCGAGGAACGCGCCGAGAAGAAGATTACCAAGTTGTGTCCGTGTGGTCCAGGACGTCAGTCTCCATGCTCGCTCGCTCGCTTGTTTGTTTGTTCATCGTTTCTTTGTTTGTTTGTCTGTTTGTTTGCTCCTCCGTCCGGTCGTTCGAACCATTCAGGGACGAACAA